AGACCTGATTTGCTCCCTATTCTTAAATGACATTGCAATACACCCGTTCTTTAGGAAAAGCCTGCAAATACTTCCTAAACAAACCAAAAAAATATACATGAACAGCTAACAACCTGTTGCTTAAGAATGGGGATTGTGCTCCAATGGATATCCGCGGTTCCCCACTTGGCCACTTCTCCTCTAACTCAACTCAAAATAACTAATTAGACGATTTTCCCCTTATTTTCATAAGTTATACTAGAGGAGATCCGTGGATCGCTCCACCTCCTTCCTTAATACTATCACCATACTTGTTTAGCTTCAGTATCCATGACAACTGCCCAACACATTTCTATAAACAAACGGGGCGTTTGACACAGATTTTATACCCGCTTTTAAAGTTGTTTTCTAGCTTTGAATAACCAAAGCGGTACTTCTCTTGCAGCTTCAATTTGAAGTCCCAGAAAAAATGACTATCACATGGGGGTGCGTGCGTTGAAGCTAAGGGCCCCTTTGGTTGGGATTCTATACCAGCTCCTGCAGCTGTTTTTTGGCTCCCGCTGCCAAAGGGGTACAGGCCAGGGTGCTCCCACGAAGAATCCCCGTATTTTTCGCTCTCACAGACGAGTGAGGTCCATCGGAGCCAAAAAAACGAGCTTCCACCAGCTCCTGTGTCAGACTCAGCAGACATGGTACCCCTTTGCCCCTAAAGTTCTCAAGAAATTACAGCAATCCGCCATCGTCTCCCCACCAAGCCTTATCTCTTTTTGCATCATGGACTGAAGGCCGCACGGACTGGAGGTGAGCTCCATCCGCCTCCTCCATGGACGCACTGCAGCACGAGAGGCAAGATGGCAAGGGGGTTCTGGAGACCGACAGATCCGGTGGCGGTGAAGATGGATCCATGGGTGCGGCGGGCTCGGGAGGAGCAACGGCCGGAGGCTTCTCCGCTCTCCTCGCGGGTGCTGCAGGCGGCGCCGTGGGCACCGGCCCCGTCGGCTGGCCACCGGGTGTGACCCTGGGCGGCGTCCGAGGAGGTGGCACGTGGGCTGGCGCACAGCCTGGTTGGCTGGCACCGACCCCGAGCGTTGGTGCGTGGCCGGGCGGCGGCTTCTGGCAGGGACCGGCCCCGGCCGGTGGCGTGTGGCCAGGCTCGACCCTAGGGGCGTTGCCGAGGGCGGCCGTAGGTGGCGGCCCGTGGCCGGGCGCGCCCGCAGGCGGCGTTGCAACCCCGAGCGGCGGTGAAGAAACCAGTCTGCGCCCTTCGTTTTCTAGTCCGTATTCAGGTGTGTCGACCACTGTTCGTGGCAGTGGTAGCTGGGATTGGCCGGATTTTTATGCGCAAGCTGCCGCAACTTTTTGGCCGGATTGGAGGACAACTGAAGATCCTAGAGGTGTTCACGAGGAGATTGGCGGCACATCACAGGCTCGTGGTGCCTCTGCTCGGCGACGAGGTGAGACAAGTAGCCGTGCACAGAGGCCGCCAGTTCCTGTTGCCCATGGATCTGACACCGTTGATCTCACTAATTCAAGGTATACACCTGCATCGTGTAGTAGTAGTCGTATTCCTTTTGTACAGATCATTTATGCATGTTTAGTATGGTAGTATATATTCTGTAACTTTTAGCTTTAATGATGAAAATATTTGCATAGTCGTAATAAGTACCTTGCCACCATCTTATGAACATATTTTGCGCACAACAGTGATGTTGTTTGGGATGATGACAATACTAGTATATTGTGTGACATTTTTGCCGATGAAGTTCTGAAAGGGAACCGTGAGAACACTCATTTGAGTAAGACCGGGTATAAGAATGTAATACAAAGGTTCAAAGATCGGACTAGGATCCAGTACAATAAAAGGCAATTCAAGAATAAATGGGATAAATTGAAAGGCGAATATAATGTTTGGAAGAAGCTTGCCAACAAGCAGACAGGCATTGGATGGGATGTAGGGAAAAAATATTGATATGCCAGAGAGTTGGTGGAAGCATATGTCAAAAGTAAGTGCCTTTGTAAGTGAAATTCTTTGTAACATTTGATGACCTCTGACTGTGCACCCAATAATTATTTTGCGTTTTGTGAATTAGGAAATCAAGGGCTGCATGCGGTTCAAGCACAGAGGCCTCCAGAATGAAGACAAGTTGGAAATTATGTTTGAAGATCTTTGTAACACAGGAGATGATGCATGGTGTGCCTCTAGTGGTGTACCACCTTCCCAAGCGAGCCCGTCATGCGAGGATTCGGCCATCAATGCTGATGAAGAAGGTGAAGAGAAAATCGATGATGACAGTGAACCAGAGGCGGTGACACCAACTAGTGTGACTAGAAAGAGAAGCGGAGGGGCAGTTACCAACAAAGGAAAGAAACCTAAGACAACTACAGGTCATTGGTTCCAAGAACAGATGGGCAAAATTATTGAGATGAATGAGAGGACAACTGTTTCTTGTGAGTCCATTGCAAAGAGGGAGGAAAACCCTGCATGTTCCATACAGGAAGTCATGGCCTTAGTCAAGGAGTGTGGTGCTGTTCCAAGAACAAATGAGCATTTCACTGCTACCATACTTTTTACCAAGAAGGCCAAGAGAGAGATGTTCATGACTTTGGGGACTCCCGAGGATAGGTTTTATTTGGTTGATGAGGAGACATGAGTGGATGACTAGAAATGATGTCCCCAAGTAGAGCACAGCTTCCATTTATGTTGCAGGACCATCTATCCTTCTATTTATATTGCAGGACCATGTATCCTTCCATGTTTCATTTGTTTGCTCCAGTTGTAATGATTTGAGTACTAAGACAATGTTTTATTTGTTTGCTACAATTGTAATGATTTGAGTACTAAGACCATGCATCCTTTGTTTGCTACAATTGTACAGATCTGATTGTTCTGGTTCTGACACGGATGACAGTGGTTTTGATGATTATGAGCAGATTTCAAAGGCTATGTCATTGTTCCGTTCCAATCAAAATAATGTATTTGATACTGCCCTTATTGCTGCCAAGTACTACATGACTTATCTTGACAAAAATGAAGCTAGAACTCCTGCACAGTCTGGATTTGCATGGACTATGGAGATACTGGCGACTCCAGGAGGAAGTGAAAAAATGTTCAGAATGAGTGCGACATTGTTCTATCAGCTGCATGACTTGTTAGTGAGTAAATATGATCTCCAATCATCTATTCACATGAATACCATAGAATCTCTTGCTATTTTTCTGGTAGTTTGTGGGCATGGTATGTCCAATAGTGCTCTACATGGTATATTCAAGCATTCTGGAGAGACAATTAGTCGAAAATTTGAGGATGTGTTGATCTGTTTGGTGTCCATGTCTGAGCACTACATCAGGCCGATCGATCCAAATTTCCCAACCACTCACTCTAGGATCACTAATGATCGAAGGATGATGCCACATTTTAAAGATTGCATTGGAGCACTAGATGGTACTCACATCTCAGCAACACTTCCTCCGAATGACCTCATAAGATACATTGCTCGAAGTAACAAACCGACACAAAATGTTCTTGCTATTGTTGATTTTGACATGCGGTTCACATATGCATCTATTGGGCAGCCAGGATCGATGCATGACACTAGTGTGCTCTTTCATGCACTTAAGAATGATCATGACATATTTCCACACCCTCCCAAAGGTATGCACAGATGGATCCTAGTTTTTTTCGTAATTGATTTCAAATTAATTTACATGCAGCTCATAATATCTCCAAATTTTCCACATTTGTATTCAAGGAAATACTATCATGTTGATGCTGGATATCCAAATAGACCTGGATACTTAGCACCATATAAGGGTCAAAGGTATCATGTGCCAGACTGGAGGAAGGGTCCTGCTCCAAGTGGTGAGCAAGAGTTGTTTAACTATTTTCATTCAAGTATTCGGAATGCGGTGGAGCGCTCATTTGGTGTGTGGAAAATGAAGTGGAGAATCCTTCTCAAAATGCCGAGTTACCCAATCAAGAAGCAAAAGATGATCGTTGCTGCAACCATGTGTCTACATAACTTCATTCGTGAGAACAGTGTGGACGACAAACTTTTTAGTAAATGTGACCGTAATCCAGATTATGTGCCCACTATACCTTCACGGTACAGCAAGTATGTTCCTATCAGAAATATTGGTGATACGTCAACTTCAGAATCGGGTGACAGGAACATGGATAAATTTCGAGATGACCTTGCAAGAGCAATCTACCTATCTAGATCATGAGCATGTGTGTTTGGTTGTACCAAGAATTCTGGTGTCCATATGTCAACTTTTGTTAACACGCCTGTAATAGGTGGGCCATGACTTTGCAATATAAACAAGCCACTAATTATTGCTTGTCAATAGTTTGTATTTTTTTTAATTTAAAAACACTAAAATATAAATACATCTGCAAGCACGTAACAAACATGGCAAGCTATTCATGCAGGGGCATATTCGACATTGTTCCAGTCTTAGCCATTCATAACAGACACAGGGAGCTGTTCAGCCAAACGGTTTCCCAAAATAGCTCCAGCTCCACCAGAGAAACTGCTCCAGCACAAGATCCAGAGCCAGAGCTATTTTTGGAGGAGCTGGAGCCCTACCAAATGGGCCCTAAAAGAAACCAACTTGCACCCGCTTCACGAGCTGACACACGTAGGCTCTCACATTATTCATTTTTCCTACCAGGTTTAGTTGGTTTACCAAACAGTTCATCAATATAACTTTAGCTCTATTAGTAAAGTTGCTCATTCGATCAAAGCCATCAAAAGCTACTTTACCACTGAGGCGGAGCTGTGCCAAATAAGCCTAAAAGTACCCTTTTTGTTTTCCTTTTAATCTTAAGCAATGTACATGCACTCTTTGCATACATACATGTAACAAAAGAATAACAAATGGTATGTACAACCGAAAATTGTTACCATCAATAATGCAATGAACAGAAAAAAACGAAGTAATCTGCTAATTAACCTAGCAGCAAAAAAGATCACTGGCCTGTCAGTAAACAGCCTGGCCAGTTTAGTTATTCTTCTGATCGCCTAGTGAAACGATGAAACAAGACTGATCGCCTAGTGAAACAATGAAACAAGAACAGAGTTGTTCACTGCAACCTGCTCCTCTTGAAGTCAGGCAGCGTGAGGGACACCGCCGTCTGAGGCTGGAATCCGACGGAAGCGAGCCTCGGAGACAGGATCATCGCCGGGCTGGGCCGCGGCGAAGGAACCGGGTCCCTCTTCCTCGACGGCGAGCCGGTGAGCCTCGGCGAGAGATTGACGTGCTCCAGCGCCCTGGACTGGAGGTCCTGCGGGTAGTCCCGGACGCACCGGATGCGGGGGCCCGTGCCCGTCGACCACCGGCACGTCAAGTGGTTCTTGACGAGGTCAGCACCAGCAGCAGCACTCGACGGTGTCAGAGGCACCTCGTGCTGCTGCGCCTCCTCTTCGGTGTCGATGTCGGTGTGAGCGTGGGTGTCGGTGTCGTCCTCCTCTGCTTCACTCGTGTTGCCGTCACGGATTGCCTGGTGAACGTCGCCGTCAGCCGCCTCGGATTCGCTCGTATGTTCATCCATGGCTGCAGAGTCCGTGTTGTCTTCTGCTCCGTCAGTGCCGTTCGAGACGGCGGCGTTGGGCTGAGCGTCAGGTTTGCTCAGCAAGGGGTACTCATCGTCTTTGTCAAGTGGGCATTTCTGAAGGAGCGCATAACAGTAACACCCATATGTCAGTTCTGAATCTTGCAGTGATCATTGACACTGTTTATGAAGAAACTATCAAGTGATTATTTGCTTACATTTACCTTGACATGTGTGAGGTCGACACCGTTCTCCTCAAGGTAGCGGATGAAGTCTTTGAAGTTCTCTTCAGTTGGAAGGTAGTGACCACTGTACGGCCATATAGCCTGAAGAAATACAAGCAACGCCGTCAGTTACTTTAATTTTCTGAATGGGCAGCGCCATTTTCCATCGTACGATCGAAACAAAGGTTTCAGTTTCAATATGATTGTATGAAGTTTGAACATACCTTGAGGATTCCTTCTTTGACGACCAATCTTCCGGCAGATGTTATGGCTCCACCAGCTAAGAAACTTGAGTGCTGAAATGAGCCTTTCTTCTTCTGCGCTCATAGACCAAACAAGAACTTCAGAACTAATGCAGGAAGCAATGTTAGTTTTATCTCTAAACAAGAACAAATTTGGTAAATTGCATTCGTCGGCGTGTAGGAGCAAATACAAAGTGCAATCTGGTTAACTGAAATTTGTGTCTACCTGTCCAACATAGAGTGCCTTGGTGGTGCTGAGGACAAAAATCCACTTGGAATCATCCAAAGTTTGCACAAGAGCTCCATTTTTGTTATACACAAGTTTTCCCCTCTCCACCACGACTTCATACTCTTGTCTCTCTTTCTGCAATTCATAGCAAGAAACAGAAGAGCAAGAATGAGCTCACCATCCAATTATATATTCAGGGTACTAACTGTTAAACATAGTGCTAAAAACTTCTATCATTAGTTAAAACATTATTATACTGATGAGGGGCTTACTGGTCCAAGGTACTTGATGCATTGGCTCTGAAGTTTACTCCTAGGGCATTTCTCAAGGTTTACTTCTTTGCCTTCCCCAATGTCCAACCTGTACATTTCATAAACAAAACCATATAAATATTTACATTCGTCTCACTTATTTCCAAGCTGGCAAATTCAAAATTTCAAATGGAGTAGCAACAAGTGAGTTCAGGTTCACTTACCAATAAAAGAAGGGCTCTGTGCTCTCGCTCTTGGACCAGACATCATAGTAGATGTGCAAATTGTGCCCATACCGATGCCTCGGGTCAATCTGCCAGCCAACACACAGATGCAAAAGCAGCAGCAGCATTAGTAAACTAATGATCTTACTGGAGCTAAAAAAGATTGCTTGTTTATAGTATATGTCCTAGGTTATGTAGCATGTGACTTACAGCTTCGAGCCAGTGCTGCCGTGCCAGCTTCTGCGCCTTGCCGTTCTTCGACAGCCCCTTGCCAAGCTAACAAAAGCAACCAAACAAAGCTCGCGTCAGCAGCTGCGATTTCGATGGCGTTCAAACGCATCTCAAGGAGCATTTCGATGCAAGAACAGCTATCAAGTGGCGCGAGCTGGTACCTTGGCCACCCTCGTCCTGGCGCGCGCCCACCGCGACGCCGCCGTCTCGGGCTTGCCGCCGTTGAAGAAGGAGACGGAGCTGTGCTTGAGGGACGCGAAGTCCAGCGCCTTCCACCACAGCTCCTCGATGACCACGGCGCAGTCGGCGAGGTTCCGCCGCGTGCGGTAGCTCTTGTACACCTTCTGAAGCTTCACCGCCGCGGCGTCCAGCTCGCATTTGGGGCTGGACGACACCCGCGGGCTCGTCGGGGTCGTCGGAGACGCCATGAACACCAACTCATCCGCCGAGTCTCTCAGGCAGCAGTCGACGACGTCCACCTGGCTCGGCCTGCTGCCGTGGTCCATGGAAGCGACTACCGCCTCTGCCTCCCACAGCTTGAAGCTCAGCGACGGCATCAGCTTGCCGCTGGAGAGGGAGGTTCTGTTCACCACCATGGTGCCGTCCTTGGCCCTCGCGCTGGAGATCTCGATACCAAGAGCTTCAGCCCATTCGTTGTGGTACAATCCCATAAACTGAAGACCTGTCCTGAAAAACAAAGTCATTCAGAAATGAAAAATTCAGGTTCAGCAGGTGGAATATGAGAAGCGGTGGGCTCTCTGCTCTGGTGACAGGGTCAAAGTCAGAAGAGTGAGGTGAACCAAACAAACACTGGCAACAAGCCGCCGGCGGAAACGACTCGAGGCCAAGGCAGCCAAGAAATTCCACGGCTGGCACCACACCGGTATAAACAAAAAGCTAGACGCACAATAGCAGCCATGCCTAGAATTCTAGTATAAACATGCTTGCAGTTCTTGTCATGGCAAAAGAAGTCAGCGACACCTAAAGCTATGTTTTTTTTTATTATGTAGGAAGGATGGATGCATCTGAAAAGGCGAAAGAAACAGCCTCAGTTGCATTGAACTGGGTAGGATTCATGAACCTGAAGAACATCATCAGGCCAGCGTCATTGCTAACGAAACTTTTGATTCAAAGCTCTTCATTTAGCACTTCAAGAACGACAACCTTCAGACACTACATAGCAGGTAGAGGTCCTAAACTCCCAATATTACCTCTGCATCTAGCAGCTCATCATAGACTAATTCCGGTTCCAACCAAGAAGATAAGCCCCAATCTAATAAGAGCAAAGGTACACCAAATTTGAGAGCAGAAAGAAATCAAAGGACTGATGCTCCTTACCTGGCGGTAGTCTCGTGGTGGAAACCCAACCTTCTCCTAAAGAACAGGAACAGCTGAAATCTTGGGACCTTCTGAGAGAATCGTTTGGATAGAATTGGCTGGAATGTGATTTGGCTCTCGCTCGCCGCTGATGTAGTAATGCAACCTCAGGAAGTCAGGAATCAGGAGGGAGGTGCCACTGCTCTCTCATATATATAACGAAATCTAGGACGGGACCCACATCGCTGAATGGCCCATCACTTCCTCCCGAGAGATGTGGAAACATGCAGGAGCAGCCTGCGAAACGTTCCCCGTTCCCCAAGAAACGCAGTACTCTTCGGTGAGTGCTGATGTTGCAACGCGGCTGCAGCTTTCAAATGGTTGAATTGAATCTTCTTCCAGTTTACACCTTGCCCAACCACTCTTTTCAATACACGCCCTTTTAATTTGTTGTTAAGACTTTCATCCTGGACAGGGGAACATACAGCTAGAGGTATGGGCCTGTTCGGCTGGTATTAAAGCCGGCTGATAAGCCAGCTGAAGCTGTTTTGTTGTAAGAGAAAAATACTATAAATTCTAACTGATAAGCCGACTGATAAGTTCAAATGATTAGGCCGCAAGACTCTTCGGCATAGGAAGGGTCTTAAGATCATGTAGTGCCAAAATTTGGTTACTAGTGCTCTACCTTTTTGAGCTCATACATAGAACACTTTTGATGAAACCACAGGTGTGTCTGATAGCAAAACAGAATATCAAGCACTTCATATGTGTATAGAGTATGTAACAACATGTTCGGTTTGGGCAGTGACCCCATACGGCGTTAGCACATTGATCTGATGGTTTTGAGGGAAACAAGTCGGGTCGCGACTTCAGCTTGCCGGTGGAATGACCCGGTGGCTGCACACGGCACTGTTACCTGAACCAAAACACGCTTTAAGTTGTCCAATCATTAGTCCGGAACACGTGCTTGTTTCAATTAGCGCCTAGTACAACATCTTAGTCCGTGTTTTTTTCCGACGGGAAGGAGAATTATATTAAACGACAATGCTTCCTGTAGGGTGTTCGTCCGTTCAGACGGACCGGACTGCGCGCTGCGCGCCCCTGCCCACGCCGCCCGCCACACGGTTACCCCTTCGCTTCCCACCCTTCTGTCTAACTGCCGCCAGTGTGAGCTGCTAGCGAGTGCCGAGAGGCCATCCAGATAAGGCGGAGCTCCACGCAGTGGGCTGCGTGAGATCTGTGCACGCCCCCGACCGGACTCGCGCCTCCTACTACGGCCGTACTCCATCTGCCGACGAGTTGCCCGCGCCGGAGCTCCGCGCCCCGCCAACCCCCGTGCCGCTGCGAGCTCCATGCACCACCGTCGATCTACGCGTCGGCGTCGAGCTCCATTCGTCCAAGTAGCAAGGTGATATTATGTTGAAAGCGCATGTTGCAAGAGTAGATCAGAATGTTGCATATGTTGTAACGGTTGTACACGTATGTTGCAAAGGTCGGTTCCTAATGTTTCATCTGTGTTTTCGGACGTATGTTGCAAATATTTTATCTGGATATTGTTTATGTTTCAGACATATGTTGCAAGTATTTCATTTTGATGTTGCATATATTTCATATATATGTTGCAAATATTTCATCTGGATGTTACATATGTTTTGCAAGGGCTACACATGTGTTTTCCTGGTGTTTTCAGATGTATATTGCAAGTGTTTCAACTATTTCGGACGTGTGTTGTAAGTGTTTCATCTAGATGTTGCGAAAGTATATTTGGTGTTGCACATGTTGAAGTGGGACCCATCTGACGCAGTCGCCAGCTGCAGCTTCTGGGCTCGCTTGCACATGTTGAAGTGTGGAGCGAGCGCGAGCAGTAGGCGCGGGAAAACGGCGCAGGCGCAGATCCAGATGTAGCCCCACGTGAGCGCGTGCAGGTGTGGGAAACGAAGTGACGCGGGCCCCACATGAAGCAGGCGCTGGCGTGCAGGCGGGCGCAACAACATGCCTACGCGGGGTGCAGGCAGGCGCGACAAGCGTGGGTGTCCGAATGCTAGCCCCCGTCCGGACGTCCGGGAGCTAGCCTAACCGAAAAATCTTAGCACAATGTATTCCTAAATTACACATGAAAAAATTTGAAATAAAAAATACATAATATTCTATCTAGATTCTTCGATCGCCTTCTTCCCTAGTGGCTTCCCTCAAACGCTAGAGCCAAAGTGCAGCCCTTATTCCGAATCCAATGACCAATCCTAAAACATTGGACATAACACAAAATCCAACGCTACTGAACCAGCACAAAGCACATTTAAATCGCTAAAAGAATATTGACAGTTGCATCGTCAGGTACGACATAGGATGTAGATTCATCACCTAGAGACCTTGATTTCCTCTTCGCGACCATCAACGATGAGATCGATGACCCGGAGTCACTGTCCTTGTAGGGGCTCTTAGAAGCACTCCTCCCCTTGCAGATAAAGGCTACAAATTGGCCGTCTGCTGATGAAATCAACACCTACAACGACGATCTCGTCGTAGCAATCACCGAAGTCATCACAAAACAAATGATCCCGACTGAAAATCATCTGATTTCACTAAAAATTTATTTAAACTCAACCCTAAGACACTGAAAAAAAAACTATGGGAAAAGGATGGGTCCCCTTCCCTTGTTGTCTCCGACGCACCGGAAAGGAAGAAGGAGAGGGGCCCTAGGTGCGACGGAAACGACAGTGAAGCTAGGAGCAGACATGTGGTGGTAGCTCTACCCTAGGCGGCGGTGCCCCTTTTCATGGTGAGAGGATCTTAGTCCTTGGTTGATCTCAGAATCTCCCGTGCCATGAGGATTCTTCAAAGAGAACTCTTTCACGAGCATTTAGGACCAAACTTCAGAAAAATAAATCCTTCAGATTAATGTTGAGCACTGTGTTTTCAATAAAAAATTATTTTTTATATGCAAGGAGACATGGCATCAATAATATTCAAATAATACAACTCACCACTTTCAGAAAAAAAAATATTAGAATGGACTCAGTTTAGGTTCAGGACCGTGCTCCTTCTCTTTTCAAGACAGATTTTCTTGCTAATCAAACTTTACTGGCTTTATACAAAATATTAGTAACATATCTAAATAAGTGTATTATAAAAAACATTTAATTTAATTTTTAATCTAGTGCTATTTGTTATGTACTATAAATATTAGTAATCTCTTGTATATATTTGCTCAAAGTTGAGTGCGTTTGACTCCTCTAATATATGAGAATGACACTAAAATAGGGACGGAGGGAGTATTCTCAAAACTTATAATTCATTTATGTCGAAGAGGATAATGTCATTGTAAACATAGTACATCCCACGGAGCAGTTTGAGGCCTCTTTTGGCACAATTCAGCTTTAGTGAATTCATGTTTTTTCTTTAGCTCTACGAGCAGCTTTGCCGGAAAAACTAAAGCTATTTTGGTGAACTGTTTGGCATATAGATTTTTTAAAAACATGCTCTCACAGAAAATCCCACACAGAACCCACGAGTGTGTGAGGTGAAGCTGCAAGAAGTTACTATTTTCATCTTCATTCCATCGTATTCCTATGTGAGAGCATAATTTAAGAAGTTCATTGGTGAAGAAGTTGTTTGCAAAAGACCTATTGGACCCAAAAAAAAAACAATTTCAAACAGCTCGTGAAGCTTACGATGAAACTGTGCCAGACAAACCCTTAACGGAGCACTGATTACTGTTTGTAGCATAAACATGTGTAAACCCTCACAAAATTGCAATGCGCTATAGAAACGCTTTTCGGACAAAAGTTGGAGACAGAGGCCGGCAACAGGCACAGCCGAACCTTAAAAGTACTGTACTCTTTTAAATAAAAATTAAAATACCCTTTAAAGTAGTGTTTGATTGCACGTGTGCCAATTTTTCGATAAAACAGTGTTCAACGTTGCGTTTCGATACACCCAGTACATGCAGAAAAGGCCTAATAACCTTTCTGTATGTTTGTTTTTTCTCTTGATTCAGTTCCGATCCATAATTAATGGACTGGACCATTCATGCACTACACCATGCATAGCATAGTGGATGGAATGGAGCTTGTGGTGGTTGGGCAGCAGGGCATGAAAGCAACCGAGGAACGAGTCGTGACGTTGGACCGGATCCGATGCGATGCGCTGCATGCGCGCCAAGTTTGGGCGGTCAAGGCCGCCGTTGATCCGGCCATGCCTCAAGCCGCATGCATGGAAAATCTTGTGTTTCATATACGTCATGCACATATATAAAAAACTTGTACGGGGAAGAATGTTTGATATGTTTATTTTGTGTAATCACGTCACACGGACACGGGGATATGTAGTAATAAGAAGCCAGCATTGCGTTAATTAGGGCTTATTTCCGGACAAGTATTGTTAATTGACGTGTAGAAATTATCTGGAAACTGCCATATGGTTTGATTTCCACGAACCAAAAAGTTGGTGTGGAGCCAAATTAATAAAGGTGCATCGTCATGCATGACAACATTGAGACATCCTCTTTATGAAGATGTGGACTCCTTGTTCATAATCGTTTTATAGCTTAATCTTCTTTTAGAAAAAGGAATAGATTAATTATAATTCCGGCCTACACAGATATTATAGCTTAATCATATATATGAGCTAATTTTATTATTCCCTAAGGACTACACAGAGATAATTAAGAGGGAGAGCAAGATTGGATTAGTGCTTTTCCATTGCTCCGAGTCCGATCCTTTTTCTATATATATAGGAAAGTGATGTACGGTACGGGGCTATATGTGTGTGTGTGTGTGTGTGTGTGTGTGAAAAGATGAACTGAGGCAGACAACAGCTGAGAGCCTGAGGCCGGAAGAGAGGAAGTCAAAACATTCCTACATACACCTCACGCTGCCCATATATGCGTACAAGACTTGCGCT